GTTTTAATATAGTTATACCAGTAATCGAGAATAAATGTATTTTATTCAAAAGATTAAGCACGAACATAAAAATAATAGTTTTTAGTTTGAAATATATATCACTTTGTTGTTCGTAAATTATATTTTTTATACACACTTAAAGATGTTTGGGTAAAATGCTTGAAAATATATGAGTAAAACTGATTTTTATTTTAATAATATGTATGTTTAATATTTTAATAAACGTTATTTAATTGATAATTATTGTTATTATTGTAACTAAATCATTGTCTTAATGTTGCAATAAATTATTAGAATACCGGCGATGCATCTAATTAGCTATAAAATAAAAATGTATAATCAATGAAGGTATACAAACGCTATTCAAATAGCGGAAGCATTCAAAAACAATCAACGTGGTCATTTACAAGGTTGGGTAGATCATATAAAAAAAACAATAAGAATGTTATGAAATTAAATTGCTGTCACATAATTTTAATTCAGTGTTACGTATATAAAAAAAACATCTTCCTGTTTAATAATTAATAAATCCTTTATTTACCTGGATATTAAAATCTTATATAACTTATGTTTATTTTGTTACAATATTACAATAATATATTCATATATTATATTATACAATAAACAGTCATATTAGTTATAGTTCATATGATACTGAAACTTATGCACATGACTAGTCTTAGACTTTTGAAGGCTTGGAGTAATTATTAGGAATAATAAGTTAAATTAAATAACATTTGAGATTGATCCAAAACCTATATAATATTTACAATATTAAAGAAATTTAAAATTAAGAAATTTATACGATAAGTCATTTGCATTCAATTATACAATTTATTTTAATATACTACTGTTTATGGTAGTAATATCTAATAAACATAAATATAACTGCCCGTATATATCCAATTTAGACAATGATTGAAAATATTTTAAAGCTTATAATAAATACTTCTTTAACATTTCTATTTAAATAGCCAGTGGTGTAATTATGCACGAGGGGGGGCAAGAGAGGGGGAAAGTGCCCCTTTTGACAATGTTTTGAGAGATAAAGATATGATTTTGCCTCCCCAGATAATCCAACAGTACAAAAATCACCTTTTATTAATGAACTCTTATAGGTATTATTTAACAATATTGGTATCTAGTACCCGCTTCTTACAATTTATGTTTATCTAAACCAGTGGTGGCCAAACTTTTTTTACATTGGGCCATAAAAAAACAACTTTTTTTTATCGCGGGCCATAAAAAAATGTATTTTTCAATTTTTTTTTTTTACGTAAATGTAAAATATTACAGTTACGCAAATAATGTTGTAACGTAGAATACTTTCGTGGGCCAAATATTCAATTATGGTAGGCCGGAGTTGACCCGCGGGCCGTAGTTTGGCCACCATTATTCTGAACCATAAAATGAGTTAAGACTTATGTAAAATCAAACAATTAGATATAGTGTATAAAATACATACAATAAAAATATGTTTTAACCGGTGAGGGGGTGGGATGTCCAAGTTTTGGTAATAATAAATATATTATATCTCCCCCTACATTTTTTCCCAGTTACGCCACGGTAAATAGCCAAGTAAATTTAATGTTTATACACTGTACCTGAAATTTTTTGTGGGACTTAAGAATTTGTTGATTGAGTACACAGAAAGCTTTCAACTGTATACAAATATTTTATACTGGATAATGTATTGTTTATATGAATTGCTTATTCAATTACTATATTATTAATAACTGATTTTAAATTTATTACGAAGGAAAATTAATTACTCAAATTTATTGTAATTTATTTAGCACAACATTTTAATAAAATTGTATAACACACAATTTAATATAATATTTACTTCATTCAAAATAGCCAAACATATTAGTTCTTAAATATAATTTGTCGATTAATATTGATAAAAATAAAAATAAATTCTAACTGACTAATTACATGGTTAGCAATAATTTTATATAATAATTTTTTTTTATCCCAATAATTGTAAACATTATTACACTGGGTAGATCATAAACTTTAAATATAAATAGAATATAAATAGAATATAGTCATATGAAACAATTTATATCTAAATATTTTTTCTGCAGGTGTGACTGGTTAGGTTAGGTTATCATCTTCCATTTACAGATGTGATTCATGTAAAAGGAATATGATTATACGCAATGCTAAGTGTTACCATTTTGCTGACGAACAAGATTGATTACGTGATATGCACACAATGCGACATCATTCAGAGATGGCGATTATAAGAACAATGATAATTGTCAGAGAACATGTTTTATAAGATTGTAAACATTTTTTTTATTAGTATTTTTATAAGTTTAAAACATTTCTCATGCAATGTTTACATTCGAGCAATCCGATATCAAGGTTAAACAAAATAATTATTGGAATCAGAGGAATAAAATTTGAACGAAATGACTAATAGAAATTATTTTAACATAGTATTAATATTAAAAAATACTTATACAAACTAAAACTAAAGATTTAAAGAAAGAAATTAAAAATTAAATTAAGAATAAGTTTTTATATTTATTCATCTTATGTAGGCAGTGGTGTACATTCAATATTGCTCTGAGGGGAGGAGGGTTAACAAAAATAATCGTTATCTTTCTTTTTTCGATGCACAGATAACTGCTATAAATAGATATTATTTTATACAACATTTTCAATAATTTATAGTTTACTTTGTATATATAGGAATATAAAAACAGCATAGTTAACAAAACTTTTCAAACACTTATCAATATAATTATTTAATTATTATAATATTTATATAGTTATATATTTTAAGTTTAAAGCGTAACAATGAAAATACGAATATATTATATATATATATATTTTATATAATATATTAACGTCATCAATAATATCGCAATTTTATTTTTTTTTTATACCCTGGGGGGTTTGAATTCGACCCCCCTCCCTATGTACACCATTATATGTGGTACTTAATTTATTATATAATGAAAATAAACAACAATAAGTTTTTTTTGATGTACATAATTAAATATAGTTTTATTGTTGTTGAATAAATATAAATAATCTCAGTCAGCTACATAAAAAAAAAAAAATAAAAAAATTGAAATGTTTATTTTAATAAAATAAATTTCTATTAAAAAATTCAACTTGTTTCACCGTTTATCGAGTAACTTAAGAATGTTTTAAATAAAATAATTAAGATTTCACAAATAATAAAATTCTTTCTGTACATTTTTTATTACAAAACTGTTATAATAATAAAATTTCATAAATTCAGAAATATTAAACATAAAAATCAAAATATTTTTATATCGATTTTTAGATAACCCTATCAACTAGCTTGATTTATATACACTTGATAATTTTTTCGCACACTTTCTTTAAACAATTAAAAACGCTATTTAAAAATATTGTCATAAAATACAATTAACCACGATGAAAAATTTCTGGAAAGTGTTTAAGAAGTAATTAAATCCGACTATAGAATTTAACTAAAAATCACCTATTTATTTAAATATAAATATTATCTCGTTAGTTACATTGTTGTAGTACATAAATAGAAAATAAATAATTTTTAAAAATAAAAATGTTGAAAAAATATTATATGTAATATATCTACATCCAAATATTCCTCTACCATCAAAAAAAAATTTTACAGGTTATAGAAAAATATGAGCAATTATATCCCAATCGCTAACTGTAATAAAGATGTAAAGTATGAAAAAATGAAACGAATACAAGTAGTGACTTTTTCAATTGACGATATTATGCTTCAAATCAGTTTATCTTATCAAACTAATTATAACCGATTGCGAAATTTATTATAATATTTAAGATTTTCAATTGTTCCATTCATTTAATAAATTAAAAATTAAAAATATCGATAAACGACCTAGTATATGTATTATTTAATAAGTAATTATTTAGTTTCCTATTATAGATTGTTGATAATTACTTCTAGACCTATTCAAAAAAAAAAAAAAATATATATATATTTACAAAAGTAAAATTTAATTTATATAGAAATACAGAGATATAAATGCATTTAAATCCTATGAAATATGAATATATTACAGCGTGTAACCACGTAGCAGTGTACTATTAATCATGAAATTAAAGGTAATTAAAAATACATTATCAATAGTGATGTTCAAATAATGTTTAGTTTCATTTTTGATTGTATGCATAAAAAAAACTAATTGTTTTTTTATTTGCCTAGTAAAAGTAGTTAGTTAATGATAACTTTATGCTATTTACCAGTATCTATTGCATTAATAGGTAAATACTTCAAAACCTAAAGAAATAATTTAAAAATATTTTTTGTTATTGTTCATTTAATTATATATATATATGTTTATACATGGACATTTTATAAAATTATTAACTATATTTATTTTATCATCTAAAATCTTGGATATGGCAATTGTTTATGAAAAAAGTTTTTAATCTAAAACAGATAGATAATCTGGAATGAAACTTAATTTTAAATTCCGATGTCATATATAAATATATATATATAAGGTGAAAATGATAACGTTAATTCACAATGAAATACGCGGAAATAATAAGCTTCCGTAAATGTTTACAAATACAATGAAGTTCGAACAGTATAGTAAAGGACTATAGATCTATAGAATAAAAACTTTTCGTTCGCCTAATCTTAGTAACTAGTTCGTTCGTAACAAAAGCAAAAATTGAATACTAACAATAAATTAGACGTTAAATGAATTTGTTGTGTCTAATTTACAAGGAGTACAAAGATATTTTAATTTTAAATGTTATCAAAAATTCTTCAACTAAAATTTTATTGCATTTTTTGAAAAATTGACTAGCAAGATAATTGATTTGGTTTTATTGGCAATGAAAGCATGCTGTGACCCTCATAGACTTGGCTTAGATCGATCAGGTAGGTTTGGTGTTAAATAATGGACCAAGCTATCAAATACGAACGAAACATAATTTGAAAATTACGTAAACGTATTTTAAAAGTACACATAATATTAATTATTATATACCTGTCGATTTGAAAAATACGTTCCCACTGGTTTTAGCTTTATTCCGTTTCAACACTCACAAACAATGCAGTAATTATTATTGACGTTTAATCGATGAACTCTGCTGACGAACGGCGGACACAATCGGATAATATTATGAAACGTATCTGCGTAAACGATCGGGGAAGCGCACGAAATACGCGCGCGGAAGACGGACTGGCGCTACACACAAAACCACAATGATATCCGGCCGAGCGCGGAAATTCAACTAAAGGCGGCAAAACCGAACGGCAGTCCTCGTGCAACCGCTGTAATAATAATATTATAATGAACACCGCCGAACCGGACCGCGTGAGGCGTGTGTGAGGGTGCGACACTGTATTTTAAATGTGTTTGTCACACTGCGTACTGTTGTCGGCGTGTTTATCTTGATTGTTGATTAACAACGATAAGTCGATATTCGATAAGAGTACCAGACACATAATAATAAAAAAAAAAAATAATAATAATAATAATAATAATGCAAAAGTGCAGAATTAATGTTCTGACGAGTTATATTTTCTTCGATTTTTCCTTTTTTATCGCAAATAAAGTAATGCATTCACATCCGCTTCGCTCTGTGCTTGGGTGATGTAAAGTCTTAGGACCCATGCGTTCGGCTTGCCGAAAAAAGCTGGCCAGAAATTGATTTTTCGGTTATGGCTTGATTGCACCATTCTGCAATCGTGTTATAATATGGTATTATGTTATTATTTATTAGATATTATTTTATTATTTTAGTGTTTTGAATTGTATCCCTGTCATTTACTTTTTCGTCCAACAATCAATGGTAATTTCTCTTGGTATTATATGTATAATGATTATTTCCAATTGATCTATTATTATTAAAAATTGTCAGTTATTTATTAGTCGACGACTATAAGCTTAATTTTTAAACCTTCATATGATTTAAACTTTATTAATATAGTTCTATTTTTGAAACCACCACTTTAATTAAATATTTAATTAGTTAACTTAATTATGATAAGCATAATTATGTACCATTTCAGTCATAATTTTATTAATACATTTTGCTGAACATAGAAATAAAATAAACTACGGCCACTGTTTTTATTTACCTATTTAAATAGATATTTTTTATTTTCTATTACCATTTTTATTTTGTTCAATACTTAATTTTTCAAATTATAAATATATCAAAATATTATTTTAATTTGTTAAAAAAATATAAGTCACATTAAATACATACATTCTCTTTCATTATATTATTAAAATACCTATCTAATAAGTTATTATTATTTTTTTTAGGGCGGTAATGTATCACAGCTTGAGAGAGATATTGGATCGGATCAGTTTCCTCCAAACGAGCATTATTTTGGTTTAGTAAATGTAAGATTATAGTATTATACTACCAAATATTTGGTTGTACTTAATTTAATACATAGCTTATTACATAAAATAATAAAACAAATTCCATTGTTATCTTATCATACATATCTAAGTCATGTCATACTGCATTTTTGAAACAAAGAAATTTCTTTATAGTTGCTTATTAGTTATATAATACATTTAAAAATTCAATAGAAATATAAAGATAGTTATTTTTTAAATTATAAATTTAGTTTCATTAGTTATAAATTATTAATTGTAATCGCCCATGTATATAGATCTAGTTTCTTTAGCATCAGTTGATGTGAGTAAAAACAGAATAGTATAGACTATGGATTAAAATATTTTACTTAATTAGCAAATTATAATGTTTATTAAAATGATTGTTCAAATTTTAATATGGTTTGATCCTAATGATACTTGATAATAATGACAAAGATGATTATTTATCAGTATATTATGTTAATAAAATATTTGATTAAATATTTCAATGAAAGTTTCCTTTGTCGATCTAACTAGTTAATTTATCTTATGAATCATTAAATATACAACTTTGCATCTATTAAATTTTAGACCTTTAGCCAATGGTTTTTTTGAAATATATCAAATTTAGAATTGAAAGTTAATACTTAATATTTATTTAATTAATAATTTTATAGTAATTCATTGTTTTTTCAGTTTGGAAATACTTGTTACAGTAATTCAGTTCTTCAAGCTCTATATTTTTGTAAACCATTTCGAGATAAAGTATTAGAATATAAAGCTCGTAATAAAAGAAATAAAGAAACGTTGCTCACTTGTTTAGCTGATTTATTTCATAGTATTGCCACTCAAAAGAAAAAAGTTGGGTCCATAGCACCAAAAAAATTTATTAATAGACTGAGAAAAGAAAAAGGTAATATTTGTTATATTATATCTATAATTTAAAGATGTGCTATATTAAATTATTTTTTATTTTTACTTTGGTTCTATAGCCAATAAAATAACTGCATATAATTTTTATTATATTTTAGTCTTGAATATTTATTTATTTTATAGAAGAATTCAATAACTACATGCAACAGGATGCTCATGAATTTTTAAACTTCCTTATAAATCATATTAATGAAATCATTCTTTGTAAGTAAAATTAACTAAAATGAAAACTTTCTATGTTAGAACTTATTGTGATACTAAAGAAATTTGATTGATTTGGTTATACAAACAATTATTATGTTATTGTTACTACACTTAATATGTTAAATCATATTCTACATAATTTTAAATAGTTATTACTATATTGTATAAGAATAAAAAAATAATAATCCTTATATAATGTATAAATTATTTGGTTTTTAGCTGAGCGTAACCAAGCTAATTGTAATGGCAAATCTAAATCAATTACACCCAATATAATTGATGGAGAGTCAACTACTAGTAGTATTACTAGTTCAAGTAGTCAAAATCAAGATCCAACTTGGGTACATGAAATATTTCAAGGAATATTAACAAGTGAAACTAGGTGCCTCAACTGTGAAGAAGTATTTAAATTATATTCAATAAAATAATTTTTTATTTGAAAAAATAATGATCACAATATGTTTATTACATATTTGGATTTTTTTTTTTTGTTAGATCAGCAGTAAAGATGAAGATTTTTTTGATCTTCAAGTAGATATAGATCAAAACACTAGTATTACACATTGTTTACGTTGTTTTAGCAATACAGAAATGCTTTGTAGTGATAATAAGTTTAAGTGTGATAATTGCTGTAGCTATCAAGAAGCCCAGGTGATATTTTGTCTTTGAGTTTTAAAAAATATTAAATATTACCTAATTCAAAAAAATGTATTATATAATTAAAGAATTTAATATAATGATCAAATTTTAGAAATGTATGCGGGTCAAAAAATTACCAATGATATTGGCTTTACATTTGAAAAGATTCAAATATATGGAACAATTTAATAGACACATTAAAGTATCTCATAGAGTTGTTTTTCCTTTAGAACTTAGGTTATTTAATACGGTAAATACTTCAATTTGATTTATTATTTATTATTGTCATAATGTTATAAATATTTAAATTTTTAGTCTGATGATGCTGTTAATCCAGATAGAATGTATAATCTTGTAGCTGTTGTTATACATTGTGGCAGCGGACCAAACAGAGGTCATTATATTAGCATTGTTAAAAGTCATGATTTTTGGCTTTTGTTTGATGATGATATGGTTGATGTAAGATATATACTGATAATTAAATAATTTAGTTTTGTGAAATAATTTATTACTTTATTTTATTTTAAATAGAAAATTGACCAATCTGCTATAGAAGATTTTTATGGTCTTACGTCAGATTTACAAAAATCATCTGAAACCGGTTATATACTATTTTATCAATCTAGGGATGCTACTGAAATTTCAAATTCCGGTATGTCAGAATCAAAATCAAGTCATTGTAAATAAATTGCTTAATTCTATATTGGGTATTTATTTATTTATATTAACAGCACAAAGTGATAATATATCACAAGTGTTTCAAAAGTGATATTAACTAGTTAATATAATATTATTGTTATAATCCGTGATATTAAGTATTCATTTGATATGCCTTGTTAATCAATTAAATAATTTTTTATAATGATATATTTATTTATTTGATTGCAGTGATAATAGTTTGAACATTTATTATTTCCTTTTTTTCTTTATTCAATTAAAATATAAAGGTACAAAAAATGTATTCCATTATAAAAAAAATGATTATGACAGGTTCTGCTTGTAATCACTAATAATCGGGTTTTGTTTAAAATTATAGGAATTGACAATTTAATATGTAAAAATTAATTTGTTAAATTTCAACAAAAATCAAAGATTCAACAGATTGGAATTATTCAATAAATATTTATGTAATTAATTATAATTATTTGTTGTTTAATCATCCATTTATGTTAATAGTTAATTTATAGAAATCTTTAATGTTAATCGAAAAATGACATATTTTGTTGGCTGTAATTATGAACCAAAATTTAAAAAAAAAAATTATAAAAATACATACAAAGAAAATCTTTAAACCCAAGTTTTTTTTGGCTAATTTGTTTTCATCTTTAAACCTGATATACACGTTTTCATTTAATTTATAACTTGAATTAGAAAAAATTGCACATTAAAGTTATATTAAGAATGCAAATATGTTTTTACCTTTATTAATTTATTTCATTATAATGTATGCTTAACAAAATTGGTACGTTATATATAATTGTACACATTTTAAAATTAAAATATATGCTTATACATTAATGGTTATTTTTCCATTGGTAACAAAGAAAGGAACATTTAAATTAATTTTGAGTCTTACACTTATATAATTTTTTAAAAAAAAAAATATCCAAAAACTACCATTACATAAAATATTATTTTAACTAATGTTTATAATATATTTTAATTTCATTACACAGTTGCTATTTATTTTAATACTTTATGTGTATATTTTGTATTAGTTCAAAGATATTATTTTTTTTTTTTTTTATATGTATTAACCAATGATTATGTAAATTAAAATTCTCTATTTTATCAACTTCTAAATACAAATAAGTAATGCACAAATATTAACTAACAAATAATGAAGTAAATTTTACATATGTACAAATTGGAATAACTTATTGTTTTATTTATACTTTGTTCGTTATTTTTATTTTTAAATTGGCAGTATTCGAATGATAAATTTTTGAAACTTATCTGTCTTATATATATATAATTAACACATCAAATAACTTAATCATATTTATTCACAAAGTTGATAGTTATAACAATTACAAGATGACTTTTATGCTGTTTCTGAAGTAATTATGATTTTTTTTTTTTTTGCTTTGTTTTTTTGTTTTAATGATTCTAATTTTGGTCTGTTTATAACATAAGTATGAGATATGTCATAATATTTATGAAATTAATTTACAAATGTGTTTTTGTTTTTTCTCTGGTTTAACAAGTAATTGTCATTTTTATAAAAGTCATTTAAGCGTTAAAAACAAAAAAAACTAAACTTATTTGATAAATAGGTTTAAATTAGTTTTTAAATATTTTTTTTTTTTAATTTTAAAGAACTTTAATAAATGGAGTTTGAAAATGTCCATACACACAATTGTGATTACTTTTAAATTAATTAAATTAATTTGAATTCATATTAGTATTCTATTAAAATATCTTCTGTTTTAAAAGTAATAAATAATATATTATTTATAAATTGTTTAGTGATTTAACAAACATATTTTATTTGATACTTAAACAACTAATTTACTAAGTACCAACAAATTTTAATTTCAATACTTCACATGATATTTGTAATATTTCACTAAAAGTTACCATTTTTCATTTACTTATTATATACTATTATTATTATTATTATTATTATTTTTTTTGTATGAAAAGTTATACGGGATATGTATATGTCTAATATAAATGATAATCATTTAGTAACATGTGTAAAACAAGCAATAAATTGTTATTGTTGTTATAATTAAAGGAAAACATATTAGTGTACAGTGTTAATAATCATTTTAGTAATTCATATTGTCTAACAATATGTTAGAATATTTAAATTGTTTAATTGTTACTTTAATATTCATTATTTTTATGAACAGCTGTGGTTAAAATATTTTATTATTCAATACAATAATGAAAAATATAACTGTGTTTTTTTCAAATATGTAATAATTAAAAATAGAATAAGTGATTTCCAAAATGGTCGGTGATTTGTTTTTATTATTTTCATATTTTCAGTTATATGTAGTTTAATATGACCCAGTAGTTGTCTTCATAATTTGATGATTTTCAATAGCCTAGACATGGGTGTATATGGTGATTTGTAGTACCTGTTCTTGTACATAATTCTATTTCTGTCCATAAAATATGTTTTAAAAAAATCCATAGTTCTTCTTTATTCATGAAGACAACTTATACAAAAACTTGATTTTGCCACTCTATCATGAAACATTAAACTATGAAATTGTTGAAAATTATACTGATGAAGCACTTTTTTTTCAAAAGTTTCCATACTGAAGTTTTTGTAAGTCTTGCTGAAATGGGATGAATATTTTTTTGAATCTTTTGTAGGTAAATCAAAATCTTTTTTTTTAAGTTTCACATTAAAAATCACGTCATGTTCACTATGATGTTCTATTAATATAATTTTTCCAAAATGTCTGTTTATCTGTAATTATAATAAAATATAGGTATCTATTGGAAATCGGAACTTTTACCTAGTTATGTTCTGAGGCTCGAGTATTTGTTTTAAAATACTTACACAAAATACATAAAAAAAATGTAACCGATACATCAACGTGGACCGTTTATTTATTTTCCCAGTAGAAATTTCTGACCTAGTCCGGCCTGGTGCACGGTGTAATTTGAACATTTTTTGTTTGTACGCTGATGGACGACACACAGTACATTATATATCGTTGTACGGTGTTCGAACAACACCGAAATCGACCGCACACTACTTTATTTTTTTTTCATTTTTCCTACAAATGCTCTTCTAGTTTCCGCATATTGTGCCTCCTGTTTCGTGCACCGTACATTTAGCATTAGCAGCTACTGCCATACGTCATTGTTTCTTAAAACTATCTGGGCGAAACTAGCTCTGGCAACGGAGCGGGGTTTCGGGGCACTGGTTCTCGCATCCAGATCGGGTCCACGAGTTGTGGATGGCGGTAGTAAAAAACTCTCCTGTGGTGGGAGAGACGGGTGGAAACGCCCGCCCCAACAGCGAACTTGCGCGCATGGGCTGTCCAGGGTGGTGGCTCCACCTACGCAAGCCGTCCACGGAAAATGCGATTCTGCTCCGAGCCGTAACCTTTATAATTCCAAAGTCGAATCTGAAGTCGCTTGGAGCGACGAAACCGACCCGTCATCTGGGGGTTACGATTTTCGTCCCCCGGGTGGTGACCGGCACGTCTCACGTTAGTCTCGGTCAAAGTCGTCTCATCCCGGGGCCAAAAGCGGTAACGGGCGACTAACCTAGTCGTGATGGTGCCTGTCCCTCAGTCCTGTATTGTCGGTAGCTACTGGGGTAACGTCTCGTTAAGCGAGTTATGTTCAACCAATAACAACGTTAAGTCTACGATTGGTACGTCGGGAGGTGCAGTTAGCCCAGGTTGGCATGTGTCTGACGTGTCTTTCCGCTGCACCTATTTCAGTTTCGGCTGAAACTGAGGTTGGACTCGACGGGGCTTAAGGGATTGCTGGATAGCTACCGGGCGTACACCGGACGCACGAGGCCTCATTCAGGGTTTTCACGGTACGAGGGTCGGCGGGGAGCGGCGTCAATTTGCCCGGAGCACATGCTATCCGTTGCGGCACCTTTTCGTAATTAGCGCCCAGCGTTACTACACGGTAGGGTGAACGATACGAGCCGACCCGGTGCAACACGATTGCGCAATTTTTCCTTTTTTGACTCGACTAATTACACCATGATTGCGCAAAAAATTTGTATTATGATTGCGCCCCGATCCCTTATTACCTAACAAAATCATAACACCATTGCGCACCAAATTATATGTGTATATACTATGTATAATAATTAGGCTTAGGGACTATAGCTCTGGTGTAATCAATATTATATGATATAAATACTGGTATTTAAGTACATTTTAAACTTATGCCTTAGAGAGTAAATCCATCGGAGACTAATTAAATTTTTAATATAAATATAACATTAACTAAGACTAAAAAACAACAACAGCGTTATAGCGTAATAATTTTTTTTAGATTCAGATAGACCAATTTTTGAACTTCAAAAATGAATACTTCAATGAACAAAATGAATAAATGCAAACAAACAAAAAAGTATATCATTGTTTAGTTGTTGATTACTTTATTGCAGTACACCATTTTTATTTTTACTTTAAGAATTTTAATAATGTACGATTTTACAAAATTAATTTTATAATTATACAAAACTTGAAAAGTTAAATTTAACGTATTTAAACAAGTCGTAGTACAATTTCGAAATATAATAGGAGCCAATTTTCTAATGAAAATGTACCCGATGAACAGAAGATTGGTGATAACAATAAAAAACTCATAAGTTATGCAAACATGTGCAAAGCAATTAAATCGAAAATTGATACAAGTAAAAATGAACCTACTTTAGAAGATAGAATTTGGTATATATGATTATTAATATTAATCACTTATTTATAGTTTTAGTGAAATAAAACAGCAATAATAGATTACATTTCAGACTAAGTACTATATTATAATTTAAGAAATATTTTTGATGATTGTTATTATCTGTACACTATTAGAAATGTAATTCATCTAGACTATAAAATTTAAAGTGAATGTGCATAATGCTATCCTTCAAAACGGTTTGCTTTCACCGCCTGGGTTCGTTGCTTCCATGGAGAGTACACAATATTTCATACGTATAATAATATCATCAACAAAATTATCTTCGATAAATTAAAAATTATTTTTAAATAT